TTGAGGGCGTCAGTGTACACTTATGATGGGTCGATACATAAGCCTCTTCTCCGGTGATCTTCTCTTTCCAGGCAGTTGTGGATCAAGTGCCCGAGTTTCCCACAGAAATAGCACAGATCCATTATCCTCTTGTATTTGAAACTGACCCAGATGGATCGTTCTCCAATGGGGTATTCGAAGCCTATTGGTATGGGTTGGTCTAGTTGTACCTCGACTTTGGCTCTGATGAACTTCAGCCATCCTCTGAAATCAATGTTGGAGCGGTCAATGCAGTGGAATTGGGGAAAGATGAAATCCGCTACCGCCTGGATTGCTTCTTCGTCTTTGAGTGATTGGGGAAGGTCATGCATTTGAACCCATAAAGTGACTGTGGGTATGTCAGCCGAGTCCGCCTTTTGCTCACCATCCCATTTCTTTAGGGCGATCAGGGTGTTGCTGAGATTCCATGGCCTGGCCTCCCAGACTTCATCTCTCTATTTGATCGATTGGAAGGTGTAGACGAATAGGTTATCAGCTTCTTTTGTTGCTTGGACCTCCCCGTAGGCTCTCCATTTGCTGATTGCGGCGTTCTTTGCCTTGTGCAGGTTGATGCTAGCATCGGTGATCCACTTGCCTAGGAGCATGGCCATTCCGCTACCTCTCGCTCCCACTATAGTTGGCCTTACATTCATCACTAGGTGGCTTTTCTCTCCCCTCAAATTCATGTTGTGTTCCATGGTGTGGCTTGGATAGGGAAGGTTGGCTGATTGAGAGTGCTGTTTTTCCTCAGTGTTTGGTTTAGAAAGGGGGTAGTGGGTTTGATGGAGGTTGCTGTGTGTTAGCTTCTTTATATAGGCACGATCTTCCTTCAGTACTCTGTATGTGATCTTGCTCCTCTCATTGAATGCTCTCCCCTTCACCTGCTCTTTCCTTCTCCTTCCTTCTCCCTTTGGTATGTCAGACTTCCTCTTAATTGCCATTTGTGGTATCTGTCTTTCTCCACATTTATTCCTTCTCTGCTTTCCTTGTTACCTTCATTCGTCGTCAGTGGATATTGTGCATTGTGTCCCTTGTCAGTGTATTTACTATCTCTGCTTGCCCTGTTGTGAGTGATATAAATGTAGATGATTGATGCACTACATCTCCAGGTAGCTATCTCAGGTGTTCTCAGGTAGCCCCTGGTTTGGGGATCTTTAGCGGATTGGATTTTCTGGTGTTTGTCTTCAATGCCTTCCCCTTCATCTTCTTTCCACTCTTTAATGCTCTTTGTATTTTCCGTGAGTGTAGCCCTTCCGTTGCTTTCACTGACTGGTAGTACCTCTGGTGGTTTGGGCGGCGAACTAATGGTCTCATTGAGGTCTTTCTCACCGTTGACGCAACTCTTATAGGCTGATGCAGCGGCGGTGAATAGTAGCTCTTCATGATTGAAAATCTGCTCATTTACTTCATGGTGATCTTCCTGGATTTTCTTGTTGTAGTTGCTATCCTCAGCTGGGCTATGATTGATGGGTCCGTAGACATTATCTTTCTGGAAGCTCAGGTGACCAAACTTGATGGCTCCGCAGGCGGCAGCTGTAGAGCCTCTCCGGCGAGAGGCGAGAGGAGGAGTATGTAGAGAGAGAGAGGAATTAATTTTTTTTTGGCTTTGAAGGCTTTTTCCTGCCCGACATGTGCGTTGAAGTAGGCTTAACTTTTATCCATGTTTTTACTTTATTCTCATCTCATCCTTCAATTATTTTCGTCCTTGGTTGGGTTGCGCTTGCAGTAATACTAAGTTCATTTTAATTAGCTATTGAATTGGAAAAGAGTAGAGGAGGTAGGTTGAGAAGGAACTATAGGCCTCCTTAAATTTGAAATATTTGGTAAAATTACATGTAAATTCGTAATAAATTTAGAAATTAGACTAGTAGGTAAGGCCTTAGCCCCTCCCCCAACTATCACGATTCAAGTTAGCTCCGAGAAAAAGAAAACGGTATCACTAGGAATAACCTAGGTGACGACGCCGACTAGAACATAGAGGAGATGAGTGGCTCTTATTGGAAGAGGTGGATGAGGCAACAATTAATTTGACAGTTAAATTATGAATATTGATTATCACACATGATTTTATTCACACAATTAGACGGATGACGAATATTAGTGAAACATAAATTTAGTAATTAACAATGCAATAAAAAGAAATGTAAAATTATCAGAAAAAATTAGTGGCAACCATGAAAGAATTGATAAATAGAGTGATCATTAATCAAACAAGTAGTTTAGCCATTGACCGTAGTCAACAAACCATGGGTGTTCATAATCGAACAAATGAGGAGATGAGTACCTGAAAGTTTAACTCGCACCGATTAAGTAATGTGAGTTTTGGAGTTGGAAATAACGTGACGATGATGATAGTATTTATTTTTGGTTTAATACACTTGTATATCCAAAAGTATCACGGTTGTGCCAATAATATCCAAAAATCCGGAAATACCACTTATATCCAACTCCGTCACATTCTTTGACGGTGTTAACGTTAAGTCTGACTGGACAAACGGTGGTGCTTACGTGGCGAACGCTTATTTCCCAATTCCTCTTTACTTATCCACGTGTATTGCTAATTAATTTTATTTTAAAAATTAAACAAAAAAAATTTCAATTGCCCCCATCTGACCTCACCCTCAACTCAACCTAACTTTCTACCCTTCTTATGTTTTCCATTGACGAACGCCTAACCCTTCGCCTGCGGAGGGCGACGAAAGCGATGAAGGAAGACGAAGGCAGCGACCCCCCTAATCCGTCGTATCCACTGATTTTCCTTCATCCTTCGTCGATCTACCCTTCTCGCCCACCTTCCTCGACGAAGACCAACACCGATTTCGGTGGCTTAAACAACTTGCGACGACCTTAGGCTGGCTCCTCCCATCCTTCCTTTCCGCTGGAAACCCTAATCGCGACGTCGCCTAGAAACGCGAGGAGAGAATTCGAAGAAACCCTAATCGCACAGAAAAGGGGGATTTCTGAGCAACCTCGTCTGTAGCCACAGGTGAGTCATCGACTGAATTCAAATGCAAAGACGAGAATCAACAAAGAAGTTAATCACCTACGAAAAATGGAAAGCTGGGTCTGCAAATCGCTTTTGTCGTGAATCTGGGTCGCCGATCGCCAATCGCCAAATCCGCCAGAATCGCAAGAGTCGCCAAATCGCCAGAATCCACGAATCCGAAATCTTCACTCGGCGGGAGGATCTTCAATCCCAGGGAGTATATACAGTCGGCGGGAGGATCTTAAATCGCCCGGAGGATCTTCAATCGCGTGGAGGAGGCTTAGTCGGCAGGAGGAGATTTTGTCGCTGCCAGGGTGCGAACCCTAAAAACGAAAGGAGAAAGGGGGACTGAACGTCCTCGTTGTTCGTCAGTGGGAATATGTGGGATTGGTTTTTTTTTTAAAAAATTCATTATTATTTTTTAATTCATTCTTACGTGGCACTTTTGGCGTAGTTGGCGCTTACGTGTCTGCATAGTTGGCGTACAATCAGCTTGCCGTCAGCTATGTTGACGGAGTTATTAACGCCGTCAAAGTATTTAACAGAAGTGGATAGATTTGGCAAAGAACAACTTTAAAACATGGATATAAGTGGTATTTCTGGATTTTTGGATATTATTGGCACAACCGTGATACTTTTGAATATACAAGTGTATTAAACCTTTATTTTTCAATCGACCAACTGCTCTACCGATAATGTTTGAAAATTTTATTACATAAGAATAGGGTTTGAGACTTGAGATATACAAAACAAAACATTATTGGCAACAAGTCACTCTATATATGGAAGAGCAACTAAAATTTCTCCAACAAAATGACAGAAAAATTTCTACTACAAAATAAAAAGGGATTGGAAGGTCAATGTTTTTCTAACAATCGCACCTGCTCCTACGCTCCTACCTTTGCCTTGTCATAATCACCACCGCCACTGCCAACAACATTCGTTGATCATCATTGTCGTTGTCATGCTCATGCCACTCAGCAAACTCATATTAAATAATAATAAAAAATAGAAAATAATAGTCTCTTTCTTCAACTCTTCTCATATATACAAATACCTTTCAACAAAATCATTTCTCTCCTTTTACTCACCCTCTCTCTTTCCACTCCATAAAAAACTCGATGGATGAGTCGGAGACAAAGGTGTCGGAGCCTCTCTACCGCGAAAACTCTATCGCCACCAACATCGTTCCCATCCCCTCAAGGCTCACTCTTCACACTTCCAGCCTCCCTCCCTAACTATGAGCTGTTCTCCCTCAAACTACTGCCAGAGTTGTCTTCCTGCACCTCCCTCAAATATCTCATCCCTTCCTCTATTGTTCCTCTGTTATCGAATTCCTTATTGCTACCGCCAATAGGGGCACATCCATGTCCCATTTCCCTTCCTTTGAAATATACATCCGAAATCATCTCGTGAAGCAGGCAGCTGGGGCTAACCTCCAACCAAATCCTTCCTCCTCTATCTTCCTCGATCCTTGTAAGAAAATGGTTAAGTACCATACATGGACATGTATAAGATCCAACAAACCTTTCTCCCAACAATTCGAGTTATTGGCACCAACTGGTTTATGACATGGTATCAGAGCTGGTTTGTCCTTGAGGTCACGTGTTCAAGTCCTCACGACCTCAAATATTAACCGTTGTCTTTCAAGCACATGGTATGGCTGGCCTATGCAAACTTCAAGCCATGAGTCGACTTTCATTTGAGGGGGCGTGTAAGAAAGTGGTTAAGTACTATACATGGGCTTATATAAGATCTAACATAACCATCTTCCAACAACTCGAGTTATTGGGACCAACTGATTTATCACACACTTCCTCCAACCCTATGGTTAAAGTCTTATGCCCCAAACAATCCCATTAAAACCTGTTTTTGATTCCTAGAACATTGTCTAATTCATGCATCACCAAGCTTTCGATAGGATATTTCCTTCAATTGGGCTTGGAATTTAACAAATTCGTTATAAATTTAGTGGTAGAGAGAAACGAAACTTAACTTTTTTGGGGGAAAAATTGAATCTTTACTTTTTATCATATTTGTTGTTCTCTTACAAAGAAGGTGGATCACACCGACTGAATAATGGTATGATCACATACAAGAAGAACAAAACACTAATTGGGTTGGAAACCTGAAACTCAATTCATAAAAAAAGGGGGAAAAAAATTAACAAATTGAATGGCTGTGTGGAATAAATTGACTGAAAAATATCTCAATTTTTTTGTTTGAGTTTTTGGGGTTCTAGTTGTGAGAGATTTTTTCCTGGTTATCTTCTTGTGTTTTTTAATGGGTTTTTTAGATATGCTTTTGTACACTTTTTAATAGAATTTATAGTCTTCTTCAAATTAGGCAATGGGATTTGATCGCCGGAGCCTCATCTTGGCCTGCTGGAGCTCGTCACCATCCATCTTTTCACCGGTGAGTTGCCTCTGGAATCTTGGGGAATCCACTCCTGCCTCTCGACTCAGTCTGCTAGCGGCTCTTGGCGTCCACCGCCCACTTCCGCTCCTTCTCGCCGTTGGAGACTCTGGCGGCGGAGGTGCAACTGGTACCGTGCTGCCTGTTTTCTTCTGAAAAATGGTTTCAACGCCAGAATTTAAATACCACCCTTTTAGCACATTCTAATAATCATATACCAATTCCTCTTCATTCTCTATATAATCGCACATGCACAAGGCGTTCGTTTTTTTGTCGTTTTTGGAGGAATTATTGGTTTGAAAACTATGAATTTGTAGTTTATATAGATTGAGTGGTTCTGATTTGCTATATTTTTGAATGGTTAAGATGGATGAATATGTAAAAATAGTAGTCTTCTGTATGGAATTTGTGCATCCAGAATATGAGTTGTTGAGCGAACTTGGAAATTGCAGAGGATGGCGAAGAATTAAAGAGGTAGATATAGGAATAGCCTCGGAGGAAGTAAAATGTACTAACAATTATGGAGGAAACTCATTAGGCTGAATTTTTCCAGGGGACCTCTCTGTGAAAAAAAAAAAAAAACACAACAAAGGAGAGAGCAGAGTGAAGAAAGCAACAATTTGTGCATTACAGGGATCTAAGAAGCTCTCTATCACAAAGCTCATTCACCGGCTATTACTGGATATATGGCTACTCTAAGTCTTTAGGGAGATTGCCTAATGGTGAATCATATGTAGGCTTGATAAAAAAAAAAAATATAATTGATATTTTTACCTGAGACTGCTTGGAGGAGGTGGCATTCCCAAACCGTCCAGATTGTGTAGCTAACTGCTCTAGAACCTGGAAGAAAGTGGATTGCCCCAACTTGGTGCAGTTTTGCCAGTAGTAAATGGCAAAATCCCAAACTCTGGCTTTGACTTCTTGCAACTTCCTGTCTATCTCTGTCTCATGCTTTGACACATATGGCTTCAAGAAGTTATTGTACACAAAGTAAGTCCCCTGCAATTCCAATAACCGAACCTTTTTTTAGTACTCAATTTGAGGCAATTCCTAGGCTTATGATAAATATGTTCTCTCTTTTCTTACCTTGGTTTTCGGGTACCATAGCCATATGAAAAATCCCAACTTCGCCTCGCCATAAAACGGCAACCTTTACACCATGAACCAAGTAAAATCTCAGTTAAGCCTAGCTCAACCAAAAACCCATTGGTGCAATTCTTTAACAGAGGCTATCTCTATGGTATGCTTACCAACACAAGAAAAAGTCACCAAGCCTTTCACAAACAGTGATTAGTGCCACAATAATCCTGTATTACAAAAAAATCATTCCTCAATTCTCCATGGTTGGCTATAAACAATTCGAGCATATATTGATGGAGACTACCAGTAAAAAGAAAGTAAGAGACCAAGAATTTCAAAATACACAAAAACGTTTATGAAATAAGGCCTATCATATCAGAAAGTGACATCATTGGTGAAGTTTTTATCTCTTAATTTAGTACTACAAATGATGGTTCGATGGATAAAGCCCCAAAGTAACAAACAAACGACGTAATTTTCATGAAGGAAGGAACCCATGTAGCCCAATAACTATTATGTTAGACGAACAAACCAATATACATACATAAATCTAACTTAGCATAAATGTAGACGTCAACATTCATCCTTACCAATATTGGCACCAGAATTTGACTTCTTCAATGTTGATTTTATTCTTCTCTGACGACTTGAAGCATTCAAATGCCGGGTATGCATACCCGAAAAACAACCTGCGTAAATCAAAGAATCCCCCCTTTTGTTACCAATTGGATCGAGAATTACACATCCACAAACCAATTCAATTGAGAAAATTGAAACGGCTACATACAGAAGGCATCTGTTCACGAAATCTCCCAACATCTTTTAATGTCCGAAGATGCAGAGTACCACCCCAACCTTCCGAAACAAGGTGCAAAATGGCCTGAAAAATTTAATGAAACACCCATCAATTGGAGCCCATGGAAAAAAGTACGGCCAAAGTTGGCCACGCTGACACTAGATCAAAAAATAAGGACAAGAAAGAATGCAAAAAAGGGAGAAGTTGAACAACAATTCCCACCACCACCTCTGTAAATAGAAAATTGTTTTGGTTTCTTCTCTTATTTCAGTAATTTTTTTTTCTCTGAATGTCGACGAAGAAACTTGCAGAGACAGGAACCAAGAACTGCACCCCAAGTGAAGAAAGATATCAGAACCCAAATATCATAACAAAGAAAAATGTTAGGGGTTATTGAGAATGGACCAAACCCCTAACCTTTTTAATATATTATATTACAATAATGTCTCTGATTCTGCGAATTAAGAGAAAGGAAGGGATGGAATCCGCAGAAACATGAGACTAAGGCCTAGGCTGCGATCGAAAGATGAAGAAGAAGATTATTGCGAAAAAAGAAGGGGGGTTTGGGGGAAATATTAGAACAAAAAGCAAACTATATATAGCAAAGAGTTAGTTATTAGATTTGGGGATTGAGAAGAGCGAAAAATGAGGAGAAAAGAGGGAAAATATAGAATTCCGATAAAAGTGGCGTTTCTTGACATAGATGCATTTTCCCATTTTTTAACACATCAAAATTTTAGGCAAGGCGAGGAAAGGGAAGGGAAAGGGCGGGGGATTTGTCTATTTTAGTAAATGGAGAAAATTAAGCGAGTCATTAAAGGATGTAAGGCTTTCATGTGATTCTTCCATTATTAGGAATAAACTAAAAAAGGTTATAATTCATTGTTTTCACTTCAGCAAGTTGAAAAGTCTCTATGCGAGAAAGGTATCTCATGAATTTCATCCCGCGGTAGTTAGGAGTTGGAGGGAAAGTGGAAGGATAGAGGACAAAAGTATTCACACTCTATTCTAATTAAATTATTTTCAGTAGATCATCATTCAAGATGACGAAAGAAAGTATTTTACACGTATTGTGAATTTTATGATTCTCACATTTTACTAGACAATCCCTATCATTCTATAAAAGGTTTTGTGAAATTTGATTCAAACAACAATATCAATATTTTTATACTCAATATGGTTCTTACGTCGGCCAAGAGACATGCCAAGCCTCAATCCATGTACAAGAACCTCTTTGAACTCAATTCGTCGGAACCAAACTCTAATACCAATTAATGTATTATAGTTTCTAATGCATCAATAGAATGATTCTAAGAACACATTAAAATTCTAAAACTACCTTTTTCTTCTTTCTTCAATGAATCGAAAGGAATAACAAAGTACACATTTATAATAAAATGCAAACCCTAACTCTAATAGCCTACTCGGCCCAAGACTTGGCTGCGGACTACAACTACAATCATAATTTAACTCCAAACCTAGCATAATTATCCCTCCCCAAATGGCTACAGTAGCCGAAAATCCCCCACAATATATAATAATAAATACTATAATTAACATTAATAATAATTATACTCCATCAAAGGAACATAATTACCAGTTTAGTTGACCAAAACTCGAAGAGGAACAAGTGGCCAAGAGATCCAAAGAATGAGTTTGGTTAGTCAAGGTACACAAATCCTAGTATGGAACCCGCCACGAGTAAATACGGATTTGGGCTACCTTGGTGAGGAAGACACAAGAGTAGCTAGGGATGTTCATGCGAGATTGGAATGATAACTTCAATTAGTATGTAGCAGAGAGGTGGGCGCCAGACGTGGCATAAGGCAGAGTTGTGCTTTCTTCTGCAATAATGAAGATGAAATGATTTGCTTCAAATGTTATAGTTCAAGCATCTTTATCCTCCAAGTTGTGTTCCCACAGTTACACATGCATGACTATCATCCAAAGTAACATAATCTACATCACAAGCATCGTAACTATGAAACCAACTTCTATTCTATGAGAAATATAGGAATGTGATGAGCAAGTAGTTTCTGGATTACATACATAATTGTGTACCTTATTACTTGCCGCCAACTCAACTAGCCAGGATAGGTCCACCTTTTCTCAAGTATGAATGACAACAATGGCCGAAGTTGAGGTTTCACCCATCTTATAAGAGCTTAGCATTGGTGTACTTCGCTTGTCTTTCATAAAAAGGTGTTAAGTAGCAGAGGAGAGTAGTTATATTAGGCCACCCATTTTATGGTTTGGCATTGGTTGGTGCTAAACAAGGCTTTATGGTTAAAGAATGGTTGGGTTGGTGAGCTTGATAGCTTGGCAGCATGTATATGCCTTATTTGATTGGTTACATCATTCTGATAATCTATCTCCCCATGCATTAATAATACATGTATTTTGGTTCAACTTCTACAATGTAATGCCAGACTTATTCCCTTACATTAAGGATTTTTTGTTGTTGTTGCTGTTTTGCTTTTTATAACTCACTTATTATGAAACTTAGTCCAATTAAGTAAGCAAGGATCATGGCAGTATCAATATCCTTGCTATCAACTTCCCCTCCTCATCTCGACGCCTCTCTCCCCAACCCTTCGTTGCTTCTCTGCTTCTCATCCGGTCGCCGGTACCTAGTAAAAGGTACACCTACTCGCCGATTATGAGTATAGGAACCCAACAGTCGCAAGCATCAAGCGGAGTCTATGATAGAACTGCACCAACCCAATCCCAATCTTGGATCGACTGCTTGTTGAAATGATGTATTTTACTTAGTCTAGGTAGCTTATTGTAATTTCTCTTATTACGTATGTTGATGTGACTTGGTCTATAACCGTTTCCTTTGCCAGATTAGATTAGATTTAGATTCATATGTAGAAGTATAAATACTTCTCATCTCCTCTGTAATATGTAATCTCCTCGATATAGTGAAACTGGCTCTCTCTCGCCCGTGGACTAGCTAACACACATCGTGTTAGTGAACCACGTAAATCTTGTGTCATGTTTCGATTCTCGCTTTCGTATTTTTGCTTTGTCGATTCCAGCGAATTCACGATCCATAGCAGCGCGTTTATAACAAGTGGTATCAGTGCCGCGGCTGGAAATCAAGCTGGGTTTCGATTCTGAAGAATGACGTCGGTGAACATGAAGATCGAGAAGTTCATGGGGAAGAATAGCTTCGCTACATGGCAGATCAAGATGCAGGCTTTATTGAAACAACAAGAGCTGTGGGGGCCGCTGTCTGCGAAACAGAAGAAGACAGCGGTTGACGACGATGTGTGGAATACCCTGGAGGAGAAGGCCCACTCGACAATCATGCTATCGTTGTCTGATGACGTCATCCTTAAAGTCGTTGCTGAGAAAACTGCCGCGGGCTTGTGGTTAAAGTTGGAGAGTATGTACATGACGAAGTTCTTAACCAACAAGCTGCATCTTAAGCAATGGTTGTTCAGCTTGAGGATGTAAGAAGGTACGCTTTTGAGGGATCATCTGGAACAACTTAATTCTATTTTGCTAGACTTACGCAATATAGATGTCAAGGTTGACGATGAAGATGCTTCCTTAATCCTGCTTGTGTCTTTGCCGAGTTCATATGAGAATTTCGTGGTGACACGCTAAAACACAACACCAAACTGCGACCAAGTGTAATCGCAGTCCGGAAATGCAGAATAATGGCAAGTTCTATTTATCAACCCGGGGTCTAGATATACTGCCTACTTCGTGATGATTTATTATTTAGCAACTAAGTTGAGAGAATGTGATTTTAGCTAAAGCACTAAGAAAGCAGGAAATGGTTCGAAGTTCTTAAGCAGGGGAAGAGTCACTCGGGAATGAGTCCCCCTAGCTCCTTAGTTAGGTCAGAGTTGTAATTATCTTTGGTTGATATACTGTTGATTAAACTGCGGAAGATCCGACAGTAGCTTGGAATCTCTTAAGCTGACCAAGCCCTCTCAGACAGACTAACCGGTAGGCGACTAGCCTTCACCGAGACAGACTGCTAAGGCAATAAACACAAAATCCACTACTGGAATTTGATTCCAGTACAAAACAGTGAATCAACTAACTCTCGTATAATCGATTCACTACTACCGATTGAAGAAGCTCTAACAACCTAATTAGATTCTATCTATCTCAGGTTGCAGCAGAAATCAAGAAAAGATGATCAGCCTTCAATTGACTCAATCAAAACACTTCAATCGATTATAATCAAGCAGTATCACAATCCAAACGCCATTACAATCGATATCCCTAACACATGGAACTAGGGTTCTTCATACCCAAGTGAGAGAGGGTTCTACTCCATAGAGAGAGAGGAAAAAAGAAAACAAAGCAGTCGTACTCATCAAGATGGGAAGAATCTGCTCTGGGATGATAATCTTCACTCCAAGGATGAAATCCAAGCTTGATTGATGAAACCCAGCTCCAAAATCACCTCTAGGGTGTTTTTTTTTGCACTTTCTCTCTCCAGGACTCTGTTTCTAGCTCTCTAAATTGATTCCCCTCTCCAAAGACCCGAAATTGGGTTAAACCTCAGAATGTCGCGACTACGCGGCCAGGTCACACGGCCGTGTAGAATTCCCAGCTATCCGTGTGGAGGTGTAAAATGCCACATTTCACTTATGTGCCTTCATGCACGTTACACGTCCATAACTGCATGGCCGTGTGAAATCTCGGCCTGCCCGTGTGAAGGTCTCTGGGATTTCCACACGGCCAGAAGGGGTCCTTTACACGACCAGTGTGGTTTGCCCACACAAAGGGATTCCACACGGCCACGTCACACGGCCGTGTGGTTTCCCAGCTTCTTGTCAATCGTTCCAACTTCGTCCAATCGACCCCGAATTCGTGCCCGAACCTTCCTTCACGTACTAGGACTGAAATATCACAAACACGAACAACCTAGCGTGAAATCAGCCTAAAACACGAGAGATGAGACTCAAACGTTAGAGGAATGGTGGACAAAAACACGTGTATATGTCAAGTCATCAAACTCTCCCACACTTAACCGTTTGCTTGTCCCCAAGCAAACCTGAGTCAAACCAATGCAGCTCTCCAGACCTCCACAGCAACATGCAACCCCGATCGTCGGTAGAGGATTTTCTAGATCATTTAGCAACTTACGAGGTAAACTGGTCTTCTAAGACGCCCCCTATCTCTCTCAATGCGAATACTAGACTCAAGCTAGGATCATGAGAAGCAGTGGAACTAAGACAGTCAATTCATGGATAAGGAACCTCACACCATTCAACAACCAAGGACTCATTGTATCGGGTGCTCTTCCATTTCATTTCACTTGTTGGAACCCCTTCTTCTTACTATTTGTTTTTTTTTCGTTTTACTTTGCTGGGGTTCCAACTGTAGTTTGTATGCGCGGTCTGCCCTTATTAGGTGAGCAAGAGCAATTTCTGTACATATGTCACTCGCTAAAGTACTTCTTTTAACTCCTATTCCTCACTTAATGTGGAGGGTCAATGAAATTAAGGGGGGGTCGGAAGCTTTATCCGTGCACTTAAAAACACATCCTCAAGTAGGCAAACCGTTCAACGGGTGGAAATTTTACTTG